CTAGACTCAATTCGGTAGTAATTGCCAAATTCCATAACATTTGGACAAATATTAGACGTTTGGTGCACAATCAAAGCTAAATCGGACGAAGTTATATATGGGAGCTATATCCAAATCTGAACCGATCTCAATAAAATTTAGCAAATGTATTTCTGAGCTCTATTTGATATATTTCCCCAAATATTGTTGTTACAGAGTGCATATTTCGGCTGCGGAAGACCAAAATAACAAATCGGATGAACAATATATATGGGAGCTATAGCTATATCTGAACCGATTTCGATCAAATTTGGCATACTTATTTTCAGGCCTAATTTTATTGTATGTGCAAAATTCCATACTATTCGGACCGATATTACACGTTTGGTGCACAATATAAGGCAAATCGGACGAAGATATATATGGGAGCTATATCTAAATGTTGACCGATTATCTCCAATTTCAATAGGGTTCGTCCAAACAAATGATTTGTGAAAAATTTCATCTGGATAGGGCAATAAATGCGAACTGTACTTTGTTTACAAAAAACATGGACGGACGGACGGACATGCATAAATCGACTTAGAATGTGATTCTATGCAGATCATCAAAAGGAACTATGGGTCTATATCGTTTCCTTTTGCCTGTTACAAACAAATGCACAAAGACATAATATCCTGACCACCTTGTGGTGTAGGGTATAAAAAACATTAAAACAACCGAACCTTGGCTGAGGGTTGCAAATACCGACTGATTCCATTTAACTTATTTTTACTGACATAGGTATTTGTACGCTGTTTCCGGGAAGGTGTTTCTTTCTTGGGGACGTACCCTAGCACCTCGATATTTGACCTGAAATTCCGGGTTCAAGACACGAATTACACAAAACAGATATAGACAATGTGGGTATAATTTGAAAAGTAGTTATACCAGAAAATTGATGTTTTGGACCCGGTTTTTTTATAAAACTCACAAAAAGTCGAACTATGGATCATTATGGGGGTCGTAAAGTATTTTTCAACACAGGCTGAGCGAACTAATTTTGCTTATACCTTCAGCCATATGGCAAGGGAGGGTATATTTAATTTGATACGGTCAAATCGTGAATCATTGAAATAATGGTTTTAGACCCTAGGTCTCTTTTGGCGAAATGCGTTTCAGGACATTTGGAGTCGATCTAGTGATATCCGTCCGTCCGTTTGTCAGGCTGGATGGGCAACATCGGACTACTCCTTCTGGTACCTCTCCCACAAAAGATGGAAATTTTCAAAGAAAATATTTGACTTCACAGAAAGAGAAAGGATCATCTGATTTTGCTCTAACTTTGCAAATCCTAATATTTGCATCTGTAATAAGTCAAATGGACAATAACGGTCCACTTCATTTAGTACCTCCCCCCACAAAGGGTTAAAATTTTGAATATTTATAACTCTTATAAAATGTAATGTAAAAGACCGATTGTCTGCAAATTACACACACCACAATATTTGTATTAACCCACGGTCTGGTACCTCCCCCACAAAGTTTCAAAATTTTGAATATCTGTGAAGGTCAGAAAACGCGAAATTAACATCCGATGCCATTTAGACTTTGTACATTTTAAAATATCCATCAGCATAAGATCTTTTATAAAGATTGTAGAGATCGGACCATTCCTCCTGGAACCTCCCCCACAAAGGGTCAAAGTTTTGAATACGCAATACGATCATAAAGTCCGAAATAATCATACGGTTCTCTTTATATTTCACATAGCACAATACAACCCATGGTCAAAATTTTGAATATCCATAACATAAAACGTCCGATTCAATTTAGACTTTGTACATCTTAATATGTCTATCAACATTTGATCTGTTATAAAGATGATAGAGATCGGATCATTCTCTCTAGTATGTCCCTCACAAGGTGTCAAAGTTTTGAACAATCAAAAAGATTATAAAATCCGAAATAATCATCCGGTTCTCTTTAAATTTCACACATCCCATTTTTTCGATCTTTCTGAAGCTTTTCTGTAGCTAGAAGACCTTCTGAAGCTTTTCTATAGCTAGAAGACCTTCTGAAGCTCTTCTATAGCAAGAAGACCTTCTGAAGCTCTTCTATAGCAAGAAGACCTTCTGAAGCTCTTCTATAGCTAGAAGACCTTCTGAAGCTCTTCTATAGCTAGAAGACCTTCTGAAGCTCTTCTATAGCTAGAAGACCTTCTGAAGCTCTTCTATAGCTAGAAGACCTTCTGAAGCTCTTCTATAGCTAGAAGACCTTCTGAAGCTCTTCTATAGCTAGAAGACCTTCTGAAGCTCTTCTATAGCTAGAAGACCTTCTGAAGCTTATCTAAAGCTAGAAGACCTTCTGAAGCTCTTCTGTGGCTAGAAGACGTTCTGAGGCTCTTTTATGGCTAGAAGACCTTCTGAAGCCTTCTTAAGCTCTTTCATAGTAAGAAGACCTTCTAAAGATCTTCTATAACCAGAAGACCTCCTGAAATTCTTCTGTAGCTAGAAGACCTTCTGAAGCTCTTCTACGGCTAGAAGACCTTCTGAAGCTCTTCTATAGCTAGAAGACCTTCTGATGCTTATCTATAGCTAGAAGACCTTCTGATGCTCTTCTATAGCTAGAAGACCTTCTGAAGCTCGTCTATAGCTAGAAGACCTTCTGAAGCTCGTCTATAGCTAGAAGACCTTCTGAAGCTCTTCTATAGCTAGAAGACCTTCTGAAGCTCTTCTATAGCTAGAAGACCTTCTGAAGCTCTTCTATAGCTAGAAGACCTTCTGAAGCTCTTCTATAGCTAGAAGACCTTTTGAAACTCTTCTATGGCTATAAGACCTGCTATGCTATAAGACCTCTACTATGGCTAGAAGACCTTCTGAAGCTCTTCTATAGCTAGAAGACCTTCTGAAGCTCTTCTATAGCTAGAAGACCTTCTGAAGCTCTTCTATAGCTAGAAGACCTTCTGAAGCTCTTCTATAGCTAGAGGATCTTCTGAAGCTCTTTTATAGCTAGAAGACCTTCTGATGCTCTTCTATAGCTAGAAGACCTTCTGAAGCTCTTCTATAGCTAGAAGACCTTCTGAACCTCTTCTATAGCTAGAAGACCTTCTGAACCTCTTCTATAGCTAGAAGACCTTCTGAACCTCTTCTATAGCTAGAAGACCTTCTGAACCTCTTCTATGGCTAGAAGACCTTCTGAAGCTCTTCTATAGCTAGAAGACCTTCTGAAGCTCCTTTATAGCTAGAAGACCTTCTGAAGCTCTTCTATAGCTAGAAGATGATTTTTTTATAATAAATCTTCTGAAGCTAGAAGACCTTCGGCTCTTCTATAGCAAGAAGACCTTCTGAAGATTTTCTGTAGCTAGAAGACCTTTTGAATCTCTTCTATATCCAGGAGACCTTCTAAAGATCTTCTATAGCTGGAAGACCTTCTGAAGATTTTATGTAGCTAGAAGACCTTCTGAAGCTTTTCTATTGCCAGAATACCTTCTGGAAGACCTTCTAAAGCTCTTGTATAGCTAACAGACCTTCTGCAGCCCCTATGACTAGAAGACCTTTTGAAGCTCCTCTATGACTAGAAGATCTTCTGTATCTCTTCTATGACTAAAATACGCTCTGCATCTCTTCTATGAATAAAATACCTTCTGTATCTCTTCTATGAATAAAATAACTTTTAAAGCTCTTCTACGGCTAGAAGATCTTCTGAAGCTCTTCTGTAAGTAGAAGATCTTCCGAAGCTCTTCTGTAGCTAGAAAACCTTCAAGAACTCTTCTGTAGCTAGAAGATCTTCTGAAGCTCTTCTATAACTAAAAGACCTTCTAAAGATCTGCTATAGCCGGAAGACCTTCTGAATCTTTTCTATAGCTAGAAGACCTTCTGAAGCTTATCTAAAGCTAGAAGACCTTCTGAAGCTCTTCTATGGCTAGAAGACGTTCTGAAGCTCTTTTATGGCTAGAAGACCTTCTGAAGCTCTTTAATGGCTAGAAGGCCTTCTTAAGCTCTTTTATAGTAAGAAGACCTTCTAAAGATTTTCTCTAACCAGAAGACCTTCTGAAATTCTTCTGTAGCTAGAAGACCTTCTGAAGCTCTTCTACGGCTAGAAGATCTTCTGAAGCTCTTCTATAGCTAAAAGACCTTCTTAAGCTCATCTACATGTAGGCCTTCTAAAGCTCTTCTATGGCTAGAATACCTTCTGAAGTTCATCTATAGATAGAAGGCCTTCTGATGCTCTTCTATTACCAGAAAATCTTTTGGAGCTCTTTCAAGAGATATGATATTTTAAAGTTCTTTTATGGATAGAGAACCTATTGATTAGAGGACTTTTGAAGCTCTACTTTTGCTAGAAAACTTTCTTAAGCTTTCAGTTACTTGAAGAAGACCAAAGAACGGTAGTATTTTTTTATTCTTAGTGACATTTTTATTTTTTTGTTTTATGTTTTATTTATACTTAATGAATACATTCGGATTGGGCTTAATACTTAATGGCTATTTAGTAATGTATAATAAAAAAATTAAAATGTTAACAATTAATAAGTAAAAAAATTTTACAAAAAGTTCGGTTGGTTTTTTCATTTCTTTTTTTTTCACACTAAATACTAAATTTACATAAAATACAGATTCGTAAAATCGACTTAAAAATAAAAACTAAAAAATTTTGTATATTTTGTGTAAATAAAAAAAATTAAGTAAATACATAAAAAATCTTAGAGAAAAAAAGAAAAGACTGTGATTAATGTGTAAATTGTAAGAAATATTATAATACAGAAGAATAAAAAGAAAAACTTTTGTTTCAAATAGTTCGCTTGATTTTACAAAAGTTTTGTGGACGGCAGAGAAAAATTGATTTTCAAGTTTTGCAACAACAGAGAGAGATAAAATACAAATTATAAAACTCAAGGGTATGGCGCCCTTTATTTGCCTTCTGAAATATTCGTTTTGTATAGATATTTAATTAGCTATGAACACACACACACAATCATACTCGCTTACTAAGTTTTCTTAAGTAATTAATAAAATATTTTCTTTGTTGTTATTGTGTCCTTTTTTTTCAACTATTGTTATTTACAAATAATATAAAATATATTTTGTGGAGACAATTCATTTTAAATCACTGCTCTCTCTCGGGCGCCGCTCTAGCTGTGCAGGGGGCCACGTGTTCGTGTCACTGGACCACTACCGGGTGGCAATCGAGTTCCGGGACGTTGATGAACAATGGCATAGTGATCGCTTTCAATAGGCGCCGACCTTAAAGTGAAAAAGAAAAAATGATTGAAAAATATCAGTAAAGGGAAATTGTTTCAGATTTTCTTTCAGTGTATCCGAGATAAGATTCTGAGATGTGGGTAGCTGTTAAAGTTACAATTTCAGATTAGATTTTTGTTGTTGTTGTATAACTTGAAAGTTATGATGATGAGAATAAATGTCAAATATCAAATATTTGATAAACAATCGTTGATGAGTGAGACAGTGAATGAATGGCTGACAGACTGTCGACGAATGTGATGATTTGTTGCTGAGATTGGGCACACAATTATTATTACTTTTGATAATTTGTGGAGGTGAACGGCGGTTATTAGCACACAAATATGCGATGTAAAAAATGTACAAAAAAAAATACAAGTAAAAAACATTAAGTTCGGCCGGGCCGAACTTTTAATACCCTCCACCTTAGGGTAAAGGAAACATTAGAAGCCATTATGACCCACGAATACCAATTTTTAGACATATTCGTGAGAAAATGTGGCAAAAATACCAAAAAATCGGAAGGTACCGCTATATGGGGGATATACCAAAGCATGGACCCATACATACAATATTTCGCCATATGAATTAGAACCCATTGCGAACTACAAATACCAATTTTTAGACAAATCCGTAAAAAAATGTGGCAAAAATCATCAAAATACCAAAAATCGGGAGGTACCGTTATATGGGGGCTATATCAAAGCATGGACCCATAAATACAATATTTCGCCACACGAATAAGGATCCATTATCCTCATTATATTGTTCTTATCATTATATTCGGCTAGAAAACCACAAGTGGCTATCGTTAGAGCACTCCAGCATTTAAATGTGAATAAATCTTTTGTGTATCGTATCATTGCTCGTTACCGTGATACTGGTAGCGTAGCCCGACGTCAAGGAAGTGGACGGAGGAAAACAGCAACATCAGCTGAAATGGTTCGAAAAGTAAAGAAGCGACTTGATCGAAACCCGCGTTGCAGTGGCCGTAAAATGGCTCGTCAGCTAAATATATCGCAATATTCCATTCGGCAAATATTGTAAAATGAGCTCGGGGTAAAGCCATTGAAAGTGCAAAAAGTGCAAGAACTTACACCGTAACAGAAAGAAAATATATTCAATAGAGCTAAAGAGTTTTTTCGCTTGGCCGAAAGTGGTAAACTGCCGAATTTGGTTTTCTCCGATAAGAAAACATTCGTTGTCCAGCAGTTTATGAACAAACAAAATGATCGTGTTTTTTTGCCAAAGAGGTCAGCTGAGGTGAGCACCTTAATATGCACCGCCATAACAGCCTATGATCGCACTCCACTCGTATTATTCGACAGTGGCATTAGAATAAATGCCGAATATTATAGCGAAAATATTCTGGAGGGTGTGTTGAAGACTTGGGTACGCAAACATTTTGGCCGCAGACCCTGGACATTCCGGGCTTCATTTCCAGTGCATGGCCACCAAAATCTCCGGATACCAATCCGTTGGACTATTGTGTCTGGAGTATTTTTGAAAGCAAGGATGGCACTAAAAAATACCAAAATGTCGATCACCTCAAGCAAGCGCTTCGCCGGGAATGTACCAAAATACCGCAGAGCAACATTCGGGCAGCGTGTGACGGTTTCATTGGCCATAATTCGTGCCAAAGTGACCAATTCGAACAAATCTGAACTTATTCTAAAATTTGATGTTATTTCCGACCTTTTTTACTTTCATTCAATAAAATTTAAAAATAATGTAAAAACTATGGCGTTTGACTTTGTTGCAATTAAACCGAAATCGGCTGCAGATGTCTATACGGGACCTATATCCGAATCTGAACCGATCTTGATAAGATTTGGCAGAGGTATTTCTGGGCTGTATGTGATATATGGTATCAAAGATCATTATTGCCGAATCGATATTGCGCCTGTGAGGGCCTCCAAATCGGATGAAACATACATATGAAACCTATAGCTACATCTGAACTGATTTTTTCAAAATTTGATTTAATTGCTTCTATACTGAATTCTGTGGAATGTACCAAAATACAGGTCATTTGGACTTATATTAGCCATTTGGTGCACAATTAAGTGGTTGAAGATACATTGGAGCTATGTCTAAATCTGATCCGATTTTCACCAATTTCGATAGGGTTCGTCCTTGGGCCAAACAAATACTGTTTTCAAAATTTCATCTCAATCGAATGATAAATGCGACCTGCATTTTGCTCACAAAAATACATGGACGGACTGACGTGATTCTATGAATATCCCCAAAGTAACTATGGGTGTATCTCCCTTCCTTCTCCATGTTACAAACAAATGCACAAAGACATAATACCCTCACCACTATGGTATAAATATGCTACCTGAATAGACTACAATTTGATGTATTTGGCTCGTATTTGAAAAAAAAAAACCATTATCAACAGATTTTGGAATATTATTGATTAGGTTGTAGTACTCATTACGAGCTTCAAACTTTAAATGGGAAATTTGAAACAATTGCGGTCAAAAATGTCGCTAAAATCATCAAAATAATGAATGTCAGGAGGTACCGCGGACCTATATAGACATTTCTCCTACAGACGGCAGAGCATCCACAAATAACTCCTTGTGTAGAATTTCAGACAATTCCATTGTAAAACGTGGCTAAAATTATATAAAACAATATAAAAAGCAGTAAGTTCGGCCGGGCCGAACTTTGAATACCCTCCACCATTTGGAACGAATTTGGAAATTTTAAAAAAATAAAATCCTTAAAAAATTCTGTTAAATTTTAAAAATACCGAATATTGCCGTTATATTGGGGTCTATACGACGTGGACCTACATAGGCATTGTTTGCTATACCATATTCAAGGGAGGTACCATTATATCGGAGCTGTGCGAAGAACTGGACCAGCATAGACAATTTTCTGTCACAGGCTATAGCATCCATTACTAACGTCAAATACGATATCTCAAACAATTTCGGTGGGTATTGTACCTAAACTCGTCAAAATACCGAATATAGGGAGGTACTGATATATGGGGCCTGTACGAAGACCTGGACCTGCATAGACATTTTTCTGTCATAGGCTGTAGTATCCATTTCGAACTTGAAATACCAAAGTTGAAACAATTCTGGTGAATAATGTCGCTGAAATCATCAAAATACCGAATATTGGGAGGTACCGTTATATGGGGGCTATATGAAAGCGTGGACCTACATGGCCCATTTACGAACTTAACTACTGGAAAAATAAACAGGTGTGCAAAATTTTAGCCTTCTATCTCAATTCGTTCGAAAGATAGCGTGATTACGACGGACAGACAGACAGACGGACATGGCTAAATCGACTTAGAATTTTACGCTGATCAAGAATATATATACTTTGTTGGGTCTGACATGAGTATTTCGAGGAGTTACAAACGGAATGACAAAGTTAATATACCCTCCATAGTATGGTAGAGGGTATAAAAATACTGAATATCCGGGGGCAAACTACTTAGAAGGAACTCCTTGTTTAAATTTTCAGAAAATTCCGTTAAAAAATGTGGCTAAAATCATCAAAATACCTAATATCGGAGGGTACCGATATATGGGGGATATACGATATCGTGGACCTATATTGACGATTCTCTTAGAGGCAGTAAAGTAGTCTCTATTTACTCCTTGTGTAGAATTTCAGACAATTTTATTGAAAAATGTGGCTAAAATCATCAAAATACCGAATATCAGGGGTAACGTTGTATGGGGGCTATACGATATCGTGAACCGAGCCCATCTGATCTGTGCAAAATTTTAGCTTCAAATCTTAATTCGTTTTGACTCTAATGTATTTACAACAGACGGACGGACAGGGCTAAATCGTCTTAGAACTTTTTATACTCTATACATGTTGGAGGGTATAAAAAGTTAAGCAGGGTTGGACTTAACGCTGTTTCAACCCGGGCCGCGGAGTAGAGTCGACCCGAATCCTAAAACAGATCCAATTTATTCTATGAAAAAATGTAAGTTTAATATCCTTCCTTCGGGGCCGAAATTTTTAATCCGGTAAACATGTATATATACTGAAAATATGACCTTCAACATTCCTAAATGTACCGTTTCAATATATGAACTCAAAATATGTTTTGGTTTTAGTAACAAAACTAGTAAAAAAACATTAAGTTCGGCCGGGCCAAACTTTTAATATCCTCCACCTTAGGGTAAAAGAAACATTAGAAGAAATATGGAAAAACCATTAAAATGCCGAATATCGGGATGTACCGTTATATGGGGGCTACACCAAAACGTGGACCTATAATTACAATGTTTCGCCACACGAACTAGGACCCATTATGACCCACAAATACCAATTTTTAGACAAATCAGTGAAAAAATGTGGCAAAATTTTTAATTTTTAAATTTTTAAATAATTTATATCAAATCATGGACTTATGTATGCAATGTTTCGCCACCGGAGCTGGAACCCATTATGACCAACAAATACCAATTTTCAGACAAATCCGTGAAAAAAGGTTGCAAAAATCATCAAATTACCGAATATCGGGAGGTACCGTTATATGGGGGCTATACCAAATCATGGACCCATACATGCAAAGTTTCGCCACCAGAGCTGGAAACCATTATGACCCACAAATACCAATTTTTAGACAAATCCGTGAAAAAATGTGGCAAAAAAAAACTAAAATACCGAATATCGGGATGTACCTTTATATGGGGGCTATACCACAACATGGACCTATACATGCATTGTTTTGCCACACGCTCAGGGACCCGTTATGACCTACAAATACCAATTTCCAGACAAATCCGTGAAAAAATGTGGCATAAAACATCAAAATACCGAATATCTGGAGGTACCGTTATATGGGGACTATACCAGAACGTGGACCGATATATCTCATTTTCAATACCAACCATCCTAGACACAATGCAAATAGCTCTGCTAATTTTTGGCGCTCTACGTCAAATAATGTGGGCTGTATCGTGATTTCAACAGACAGTCGGACAGACAGACAGACGGACATCGTTAAATCGACTTAGAATTTTATGCTGATTATGAATATATATACTTTATGGGGTCTAATACGATTATTTAAGGATGTTACAAACGGAATGACAAAGTTAATATACCCTGCTTTCCAAGGTGGAGGGTATAATAAAAATATCATTAGTCTGAATTAGAATCGAGCAATTTATTACTCTCGACTAAGACTCCGACTCCAACAAAATTATCTATCCCCGACTCATATTTCGATTAACGACGAAGTTAGATATGTGATTTTGAATATTATTTATAGATACCTACATAAAATATATGCCAACAGACGAATGGTGGTTATGGACGGGACAATAATGCATGCAATTGTCTTGGAGGAGAGTATAATTTGTTGTTGTTGTTGTTGTTGTTTTTCTTGCTGGGGGACAATTGTTTATGACGATGACATTTTGTTTCCAGCACAAAAAAGAGGGGGGAAATGTATGTAGGGGGTGGTGATTGCCATAAATTTAGTCCATATCCAAACATGCATATGTAGGGTGATGGATATTTTTTACATAGATCTATGCTACTGCCTGTTGGCCACAGCTTGGTCAGCAATAGCAGAGATCGTCATTGCGAGTAACCAGCCATACATGCGATAGCGAGAGAGTACAAGTATGTGTATGTCGTTTATGTTGTATGTTGCATAGCTATGTTGTGTATGAAGTTCTGAAGGGCTTTTGTTTATAGCTGTTGTTGCTCTTGTTGTTGTTGTTTTTGTGGTCTTTTGTTTTCATGTTGTTGTTGTTCTTGTGATGGGCATTAGATTCTTTTTCATTTCATTTTCATTTCAATGTTTTCTTAGTATCTATCAGACCTATTAGAATGTATGGTCGAACCGCCGCTGGTATAACCTTTGTGGGCATCACGTCCATGCAACGAATATCTTGAACCATACTGGCTACCATGCCAACTTCTATAGGGATCATATTCTTCAATAATGGAGGGCTCTTTTTCGATTATCTGCAAACGAAACGAAAAATGATGAGAAAACAAATTAGCGGGAAAAATTAGAAAATAATTAGTTGGCGAGGGAAAAAAGGGAATCTAACGGTAAAGCCATACCTCCGTATTGGCACAGCTGCAGCTCATGGCAGTGCAGAGGAAAATATTCATCAACAACATAATGAGGAATAGAACACCCAGGGTAATGGCCAGCCAGAGCAGCCAAGTGGGTCGAATGCCATCTTCACAGTCGACGGTTGTGTCTGCAAAACAAACGGAATTTAGCTACGGTTATCATTGACTTAACATGCAACTTACAGGGCGCCTTGGCAGGATCTAACACGAAAACGGTGGTTCCAGCAATACTGGAGCCCTCCTCATTGGGATGCACCTTACGATTGCCACCTTTGGTACCAGCAGCCCCACCCACACCAGCCACCGCAATTTGACTGCAGTCCTCATCTTCAACACAGGGGCCATAGCATTGAATCACATCACATTGTAAATGGACTTCGGAACCTGTCGGGAAAACGACATTTATCAAATCATGATTTTAATATATTTTAAGAAAAAATTTTCTGCTGTACCTTCAGGGAATTTGAACATAGATCTCAGCGTAGCCTCAGCATAGTTACCCTCTGCACTTGGCACAAAACGTGAAATAATTTCTCCATCAAGGGGACATCTGAAAATGAGTAGGCAATGGAAATTAAATGAAATCGAACTTAGATGTCTAGAAAAAAACTTACCCTCTTTCGTCGATCAGGGGAAGACTGAGGTTCTTTTTGTCAAAAGCCATACAGTTGCCAACCTTAATACCATGGGTACCTAGAAAGGGAAAAAATTGATATAATAGTACGTTAAAAATAAAATTGCAATGCACAGAAAAATATAAAAATACCAAATTTTTTGTTTATATTTTTTATGTAGGTATTGTTAAAAAATCAAAAAAAAAATGTAAGGAGGCTAGAAAATTGTATTAATATAACTTGAAAAAAGTATGTAAAAACATGACTTTTTGTTTGAAAAAAAAAGGAAGTAAAAAAAATCTATTTAAAATTCATCGTTATTTGAAAAAAAAGAAATCCTCTATTTGTGTGAGTAGCTACTGGAAAAAATAATTATGAAAATCAAAAATTTTTAGTGAAGTCTTTGTAAAATTCGACGATTTCGTTGTCATGAGACTTTTGAAAAATTCCACATCTTGTGAGGAGGACCTTCAAAATTTGAAATTCGGTTTTATCAAGTATTTTTATTGTTTGGAAAAATTGATTTTCGAAGATTTCTTATAATTTTGCCTCGAAAAATCCATGTTTTCGGAGGCTTTAAAACATGGGTTAAAAATGATATGCTTTCATAAGAATCTTAACCAATTTTGTACAAAAACAATTATTATCATTTTTAATTAAAGATTTTTGTTAGGATAACTGGAAAAATTCTTAAATAAATCACATTTATTTAATGAGGTCTTTAAATTTTAAATCTTCACTTTTCCAAGGTGCCTCCAAAAAAAAAAAAATTTTTATAACATTTATGTTTTTTTAAAAAATCGATAAAAAATATCCTTTTTTTGGAGAGGTTTTTTTGTGAGCGGCCCTCCGTGCTTTTATAAAAATCGATATTTTCCTGTCGGTAAATCTAATATTTTTAGTAAAACAACAACGATTTTTGTCAAAAGACCCTTAGAATTTTTTTTTTTACAAAAATCCACAACTTAATTTATTCTAAAAATTTACAAGATTCTGTGTCCTCTTCACAAAATGGTTATGAAATCCATGATTTTTCTGAGGAGTCTCTCGAAAAAAATATGGTGAAAAAAAAAATTTGGTGGAAAGTCTCTTGTTTTCTTTAAAAAAATATAAATAAATCCAAAAGGTAAATTCTAATTTTTGGTAAAGAGATTTTTGAAGAAATTTTGTTTTACAATCCAATATTTTTTAGGATGTCTTTGAAAAATTAATCATTTGAATTCACGATTTTGGTAAGAAAAATATTAATTTTTATTACAAAAATCAAGGATTTTTGTGAAGAGACCTTTACAAAAAAATACTGCTAAAAATCCAAGAGATTGATGATGTGGCCCTTTTTGCCAGAATATTGCGTTTCAGTTAGTAAATGTTAAACAATATTTTTTTAATAATAATATATTATTTTTCTGAAGACAACCTTTAAGAATTTTTTTTTTCAAAATCAATCATTTTTAAGAGGTCCTGAAAAAATTCTTTAAAAATCCACAACAAAATTCCTAAAACAAATGTTGGGGGAAACACATATTTTGCTAAAAATTCATGTTTTTGTTGTTCTTGAAAATATGTAGTTCCAAAAACTGTAGGCATTAAAATACGAGATGACTATTAAACGTAAATCGTTGCATATTTTTGGGGTGTTTAAAGTTTTATAATCTCAAAATGGGTTTTTTAATTGAAATGATGTCGAAGTCTCACAAGTATCTGACTGAAATAAATTTATATTATTACTAATCTACCAATGAGAAGCTTCAAAATTTCCATTTCCACGGGAGGGTAGTGGACCGATATATTCCATCTTAACAGCAGACCTTGGATTAATACAAATATTGTGATATGTGAAATTTGAAGAAAATCGGACTCTTACATCATATTTTATAAAAGGTGTAATTATTCAAAAATTTGACCCTTTGTGGGGAGGTACTTCATGGAGTGGACTGTTATTGTCCATTTTCGCACCTGACATAAATATTAGGATTTTCAAAGTAGGGACAAAATCGGATTATCTTTTCTCTTTCTGTGCAGTAAAATATATTTTTTGAAAATTTCGACCTTTTGTATTTCCCCACAAAAGGAGTGGATAACGGTACCTCCCGATATTCGGTATTTTGATGATTTTAGCGACATTATTCACCGGAATGGTTTAAATTTGGTATTTGAAGTTCGTAATAGATACTACAGCCTATGACCGAAAATTGTCTCTGCAGGCCCACGTTTTGGTATAGGTATAACTACATAATTCACCGATTTTTTTTTCAAGTTTCGCATTTTAATATTTTAATGGCTTACGACAAAAGGTCCACGTCGACGTATCGACCCTAATATAACGGCTAGATTCGGTAGTTTTAAGATGTTAACATAATTTTTAACAGATTTTTTTATTTTTGAAAATTTGCAAATTCGTTCCACCATTTGGAATATTCAAAGTTCGGTATTCAAAGTTCGAACTTATAGCTTTTTATACCCTACGCCACAAGGTGGTCAGGGTAGTATGCCTGTTTGTAACAGGCAAAAGGAAACAAGATAGACCCATAGTTCCTTTTGATGATCTGCATAGAAACACATTCTAAGTCGATTTATGCATGTCCGCCCGTCCGTCCGTCTGTCCATGTATTTTTGTAAACAAAGTACAGGTCGCATTTATTGCCCGATCCAGATAAAATTTTGCACAAATCATTTGTTTGGCCCAAGGACGAACCCTATTGAAATTGGAGATAATCGGTCAAAATTTAGATATAGCTCCCATGTATATTTTCGTCCGATTTGCCGTTTATTGTGCACCAAACGTGTAATATCAGCCCGAATTGTATGGAATTTTGCATATACACCCAAATTAGGCCTGAAAATAAGTATGCCCAATTTGATCGGAATCGGTTCAGATATAGCTATAGCGCCTATATATATTGTTTATCCGATTTGTTATTTTTGTCCTCCGCATTATTTTTGTTATTTTTGCACTCTGCAACAACAATATTTGGGGAAATATATCAAATACAGCTCAGAAATACATTTGCCAAATTTTGTCGAGATCGGTTCAGATTTGGATATAGCTCCCATATATATCTTCGTCCGATTTACCATTTATTGTGCACCAAATGTCTAATATTTGTCTAAATGAGATGGAATTTGGCACTTACGACCGAATTGAGTCTAGAAGCTAGTATGTCAAATTTGGTGAAGATCGGTTCAGATATAGCTATAGCTCCCATATATACTGTTCGTCCGATTTGTTATATTTGTTACCCACAGCCGTAATATGCACACCGTAACAACGATATTCAGGGAAATATATCAAATACAGCTCAGAAATATCTTTGCCAAATTTTATCGAGATCGGTTCCGATTTGGATATAGCTCCCATACATATTTTTATCCAATTTCAAATTAATTGTGCACCAAATGGGCAATACAAGTCCGAATTTAAAAGATACAAATGTTTCGGCGGCATATTTAGTCCTTTGAACTTTAAATTTTAATTATAATCATAGCATGTATGATTGAATTCTCCCATCAAAACTTTTAATTGTTATGTAGAGCTCTACTAAATTAGCAAAGTGGTGTAGGCTATCATAAAGTCGGCCTTGCCCGACTTTAAGACTTTCTTTACTGGTTTGTTTTTAAGGAGGACTTGTTTATGGCCAGAAATACCATTAATATATTTAGAGATATACAGCTGGACGATTTCGAATCATATTAAAACACGTAAAATTAAATCATGACTGTAGCCTCTTATACAAAACACGATACTCAGTAGATTTCTAAAACTGTATGTATTTTCTATTTTGGAACTTTATCTTGATTTTATTAAACCAATACTATGTGTTAAGTTTGATCCAAGATTTTAGATGGAAACCTCATACACTGCTAGGCAGTTTTAGAATGGAATCTCCAAAGCAGCCACAGCCCAGGAAGAACAACATATAATTTTAGAAGATTAATTTTACTATAGTTGCATCGAAAGCATGTCAACTTTTAGTTAGTCGCTATTCCACATCAGATTTCTTGGTTGAGTATTTCGGTCAATCGATTTTTTGGTAGGAGAAGAAAAAACGTAAATCGTTGCATACTTTGTGGCGCATTTGAAAATGTATTATCAACTAAAAATCTGTAGTCGCAATATCTAACACAGAGTGTTAACTTTACGTCTATGGACTATAGTTTTCTCGAAGATTTTGCCAGATTTCTAAACGGGGCCTAAAGGATCCCAATGAGACCTCGCGTCAGATTTTGAGAGAGCAATTATTGGAATCATTCCCATCACTTTTCCATGTCGACCAAAAATGTATATTTTGTTCGATTGTCTCATATTTACACAACATGTTATAGACTTCCATTAACAATTCCAAATTCTAAGCAAAGCTATTTTCTTTTCTAAATATTTTGAAAGTGAAAGGGAAATCTACATCTAATGATAGAAAGCAAGCTTAGATTGTTACATTAGTCTGTTTATGTTTACACACAGATATAGTCATGTGGACCGATTGAATTTAGACCACATTTTTCAACTGTGTTTGAATTCAACAAACAAATTACATCCAACGCCATCGTTAATCATTATTTTACTGAATTTGCTGACTGACTTATGGAACAATGGGTCATCAAGAAAATAACAAAATTTTGCCAAGGTTTTTAAAAATTGATCATAACCATTGGCAAATAGTTTAAGATAAAGAAAATTGCAAGCAGCAGAAACAAAAGCTCTTAAAATTGTTACCTTTCTTAATTGAGGCGATTATGGGATCATTATGTCCCCGCGATTATTATATTTCGCGAAAATAAGAGCTACAACATTGATTACAGGTTTTTGTCTTTTGACACAAAATGTTAAAAACATATTTAAAATGTTTGCTATCATAGTTTTTCGCTGTTTTATATAAATATATTACCCTCAATAAGAGGAAGGGTATATACATTTTTTAAGAATTATGGGTAAGGTAACATGTGTAGGTTACGCCCTCTCTAAAGTTTTCACCAATTACAAGACCTTTGACAGCTCTAAGGTCTTTACCAAACTCTTATTCAAATTCGAGTCTAAACTCGAAACAAGCTTTTCCTTTTTGGCTGAATATTTTATTCCGATGCAATATAATTTATACAGGGTTGCCCATATTCGACGGACCCATGTTTTTTTTTTTTTTTAAATCAAAGAAAAAAATAAAAATTTGGCGGTTGGCAATGTTAATCATTTAATTTGTTCCAAGTAGATTTGTTTACATCAATTTTTGAATATGATATCTCTCAAATGGCGTGACCTCTGGCATTGATGACGTATTGTGCCCTTTTTGCTGCATTTTCCATCGTTTTTGCCAACATTTCGGCCGGAATAGCGGCTATTTTTTCCTTGAGCTCTTCTACGGTCCTTGGCTTGTTAACGTAAACCTTTGACTTCAGATATCACCACAAGAAGAAGTCAGGCGGCATCAAATCGGGTGAACGCGGTGGCCAGTCCAAATCACCACTTTTCGACATCAAACGGCCCGGAAACAAATTCTTCAGAAAATCGATTGTTATGCGACTTGTGTGCGGTGGAGCGCCGTCTTGTTGAAACCAGAACTTCCTCATACGCTTTCGACGAATAATTGGCATCACAAAATTGGTCATCACGTCGCGATAACGCTCCTGATTGATGGTAACAGCATGGCCATTTTCATTTTGGAAGAAAAACGGCCCAATGACCGTTTTCGCACTAACGCCACACCAAACTGTGACTTTTTCGTCATGAAGAGGCACTTCTGGAATCTCCTGAGGATTTTCAGTGGCGTAAAAACGGCAATTTTGCTTGTTTACGGTCCAATTCAATGTGAAATGGGCTTCATCGGACATGATAATTTTGTTCTAAAATTGCTCGTCATCTTCGGTCATTTCGATGACTCTTTGGGCCCATTCCAATCGACGAGGCTTGTCCGCAGGCAACATTCTTTGCGTCAATTGAATTTTGTACGGGAACAAATGCAAATCAATGCGAATAATCCGTTGTAAAGTGGACCGAGCCATGCCCAACTGCTGAGAACGGCGTTTTTGGGATGTTCTTGGGGACCTCTCAACACTGGCTCGTACGGCAGCGATATTCTCGGCCGATCGCCTTGGTCGACTTTTATATGGCCTCTTCGGATTAGAAAGAGCCTTACCAGTCGAAAATTTTTCGTATAAACGCTTAATGGTGTTCTTAGAAGGCGCACTTCTCACATTTTTTAATGTTTTAAAAGCACGTTGAGTTTTCACAATTGACTTCTTCTCGCGTGGCGTGTATTGGTTCATGGTAAAAATCTGCTTGGACTGACGCTTCAAACGCGGTACATCATTAAGCGATGTGACAACTCTGTCAAAAGTTATCGTCGAATATGGGCAACCCTGTACACTTTAGAGTATCCTATTAATACAAAGTTTTGCTCAACGAAATCGTCGATTAGGTCATCGCTAGAAAGGTTTTTGCAAGCTTTAAGTCTTACAACCAGCAGTCAAATTCTTAATCTAATAATCTGAACTATATGCAGATTAATGTAAAGAAGAGCTTGATGAAGCTAGAACTAGAATTTGGAATGTTTTGAGATTAGGCTAGGTTTTGGAAAACTCGGGACTATTTATATCCTGAGTCATATGGCTAGAGAGGTTATACAGGGTGGGATGAAAAACTGCAAACAAATTCAGACTGCTGTCATTTCTAAGCCACCCGTCCGACAGCTGTTAAAATTATTCCAGTGACAGCTTATTATATTGTTTACAAGCGTAAAAAAGGATTTTGTTGAGAATTTTCCGGAAAAAAAATTTATTCGTGATGGAATTCAAGCGTGATAGTGTGATTTCTTTATATTTAGCTGGAAAACCACAATTGGCTATCGTTAGAGCATTCCAGCATTTAAATGTGAATAAATATTTTGTGTCTCGCTCGTTACCGTGATACTGGTGGCGCAGCCCGACGTCAAGCAAGAATGCACGGAAGAAAACACCAACATCAGCAGAAATGGTTCCAAAAAAAAAGAAGCAACTTGATCGAAACCCGCGTCGTAGTAACCGAAAAATGGCTCGTGAGCTGAATATTCCATTCGGCAAATATTGAAAAATGAGCTCGGGGTAAAGCCATTAAAATACCAAAAAGTGCAAGAACTTACACCGCAACACCGAACGAAGAGAAAGATCTAAAGAGTTTCTTCGCTTGGCCGAAAGTGGTGAATTGCCGAATTTGGTTTTCTCCGATGAGAAAACATTCGTTGTTCAGAAGTTTGTAAACAAACAAAATGATCGTGTTTACTTGCCAAAGAGCTCAGGTGAAAATGTACACTTTCGATTGGCTACCAGAACTCAAGGACCGGCCATGGTATGGGCCGCCATAACAGTCGATGGTCGTTCTCCGTATTAAACGTATTGGCATTAGAATAATCGACCGTGGCATTAGAATAATCGACCGTGGCATTAGAATAAATGCCGAATACTATCGCGAAAATATTTTGGCAGCATCGCACTTAGCTCGCCTCACCCAAGAATGGTTACGAAATGAGGTTCCTCGCTTTATTTCCAGCCGATAGTCGCTCTCCGCTCGTATTAATCGATCGTGGCATCAGAATAAATGCCGAATATTATCGCGAAAATATTTTGGCACTATCGCACTCAGCACGCGCCACCCAAGAATGGTTACAAAATGAGGTTCCTTGCTTCATATCCAACGCACAATGGCCACCAAAATCTCCGGATACCAATCCGTTGGTATCCGGAGACAGAGCAACAGAGCAACATTCGGGCAGTGTGTGACTATCAACACAAGAGTAGTTATAAAGGTGGTAGAGATCGAACCATTCCTTCTGGTACCTCCCCCACAAAGGGTGAATGTTAGAATAACCAAAACGATCATAAAATCCAAAATAAGCATCCGGTTCCGATATTTCACACATCCCAGTGTTTTTACTAACACAGTTTCTCTGAGGATGGGATATATCGGTCCTCTCCTTCTGCTACATCCCCCACAAAGGGTCGAAATTTTGAAATTTGAAAAGAGTTGGGTGTCTATTTCACTTTCTTTGAGCGTTTCTTTTTTTCAAAATCTTTAACCTCATTTGGGGATGTACCAGAAGGAATTGTCCGATATCTGCCATCTTTATAACAGATCTTGTGTTAATGGAAATATCGAAATGTGACAAGTGTGAATGGAATCGGATCGTTTTATGAGCTTAGTGGACATTCCAAATCTTGAGCTGTGTGGGAGGTACAATAAGGAGTGGGGAAGCTTCATGGATAGTTAAAATTTTGAGCCTTTGTGGGGGAGGTACCAGAAGAAGTAGAAATGGAATCGGATATTAATTTCGCGTTTTATGAGCTTAGAGGACATTCCAAATCTCGAGCTTTTGTGGGGCGATGTACCAGAAGGAGTGGACCGATATATTAAAATATTGGAACATGTGAAATCTTAGAACACATTTTATAAGTGTTGCTATTATTCACAATTTTGACCCTTTGTGGGGAGGTACCTGATGGAGTGCACCGATATTATCCATTTTTGCATCTGACCTAGAACTGATGAAAATATTAGGATTTGTTAAATTGAAGCGAAATCGAATTATCGTTCCTCTTTCTGTACCGAAAATATATTTTTTAAAATATCAACCTTTGTGTGGTGGGAGGTACCAGAAGGACTGGGCCGTTATATTCCATCCTAATACCAGACCTTAGGTAAGTAAAAATATTGGGATGTGTGAAATTTGAAGACTATCGGACTTTCACATCACATTTTATAAGAGTTGTAATTATTCAAAATGTTTACCCTTTGTGGGGGAGGTACTTGATGTTGTGGACCATTTTCCATTTTCGAACCTGACTTAGCACTGATGCAAATTTTAGGATTTGCAACGATGGAGCAAAATAAGATTATCATTTCTCTTTCTATGTAGAAAATATAGTTTTTCAAAATTTCGATCTTTTTTGGGTGAGGTACCAGAAGGAGTGGACAGATATTGCCCATCACCGAACTCGATCTAAGTTTGATAATAATATTACGATGTACCAAGTTTGGACCAAATCGGATACTCCCTTTGGGAATTATTGTGCGCCAGACGGACAGACAGACAGATGAAAGGACATCGCTGGATCGACTCCAAATGTCCTGAAACGGATTTGGTCCAAAGAGACCTAGGGTCTAAAACCATTATTTCGATGAGGCACGTTTTGGCCGTATCAATTGATATATCCCTCTCTAGCCATATGGCTGAGGGTATAAATATGCCCCATATATGACCTTTTTCAAAAATTCTTTTCTCAATCTACTTACCATTTGGTTTGGTGAATTCAGCACGGATTTTATATTCATGACCATAGACTGTCTCACGAACGCGGCGATCATTTTGGAGGAACTTCAGGATAACATGGGCGTTGTCGTCTCTGGAAGAAAAGGAGAAAAAACCGAAAACAGATATTAATCAAATGGGAGTTGCCACATTTCGTTAGACAGACAGACACTTCAATTAATCATTAATTGTGGTGGATTGGATGCCTGGCGGACTGGCTGACTGACTGCCGGAGTGTTGAAACATACAAATGGTCGTATTAATATTAAATGTATGGGAAAACCAAGTTCCCATTCGGGTACTACATCGACAGCGACAGCAACATCAAATCAAACAAAAGAAATGCCCAGTTGTTATTGTTGCTGTTGTTGTGCAAAAGCCATGCGCTGTTGCCATTACCGGCATTGCTTTGCTGCATTGTCATGGATTGCATCACAGGCAGGCAGGCAGGCGGGCGGTCATTCCATAGAGGTCTGTTTGCTACTCCTCCATAGGTTGCAGCTTTACTCTAGGAAGGTACGTTGGTTGGCCTGCCTTTTTTTTGGCTTTTGGTTAGTTATGGAATAGTTAAGTACAAATAGTGGGCTATCGCTTGTCCACCATCAACCGCCATCAAACCAACGACCAATACCGGTTTCGCTAATATGAAAAACTCAAACAAAAATCAAATCAAACAACAGCAGCAGCAACAATTGCAAAAAAAAATCCACTACCGCTGCAACAGATTTGTTGTTTTAAATCGTTGACTGCCTGAATGGGGCGGCTATGGGGCCACAAAACGAATTGGAAACGAATGCGAATTTAACAGAGCGTAAATTATTATTTAATTTCCCCATTCAGTTGGGTTCGTGTTTTTCCATATTTTTCACATTTTTTTTTTTTTGCTTTTTGTGCCTGTTATTGTTTTTGCCACAAAACTATTATCCATTGAGTTGAGAGAGAAAAAAATGGAAAAACAACATAACATAATGTCTGTCCCCATAGTGGGACAAATATTAGGCCAACCAAAGCCAAGCCAAACCAAGCCAAAATGGATTGAAACGTTAAAAGAGACAAAACAAAAACGTTTTACAAACAAAACTAATGGATAATAATAGTTATTTACTAGGTACTAGATCATTTGCCTTTTTTTTGCATGGTTACACATTAGGGTGGTTCGGAAATTTTGAATGTTTTTCAACAATGGGTATAACATCTCTGCGGTCCGAATTCAGACCGAAAAATTGTTTGAAACCCTTCAATACATAGATTAGGACTGGAATTTGTTAAAAAATCAGAAATCCAAGCGGTTTCCCTTCCGAATTTCCAAAAAAATATCTCTCCGCGTTCCGTTCGAAAGCCGGCTGAGACTTCAGATTTGCATCAGACGCTCCGGTACTACAACATGTCAACCACTCCATATAACTTCTGTGTCGATGAAAACAGTGGTTTTGGGAGATTCAAAAAAAAAAAAAAAATAAATAAATAAATAAATAGAAGACCCCTAAGGACTTCTAGACACCAAAAACACCCTTAAGGGCTTCTAGACACCAAAAAGACCCTTAAGGGCTTCTAGACACAAAGAGGACCGTTAAGGACATCTAAACACCAAGAAGACCCCTAAGGGCTTCTAGGCACCTAGAAGACTCATAAAGGGCTTCTAGGCACCTAGAAGACCCATAAAGGGCTTCTAGACACCTGGAAGACCCTTAAGGGCCTCTAGACACCTGGAAGACCCTTAAGGGCCTCTAGACACCTGGAAGACCCTTAAGGGCCACTAGACACCTAGAAGACCCTTAAGGGCCTCTAGACACCTAGAAGACCCTTAAGGGTCTCTAGACACCTGGAAGACCCTTAAGGGCTTCTAGACACCTGGAAGACCCTTAAGGTCTTCTAGACACCCCTTAAGCCCTTAAGGGCTTCTCTATAGATAGAAGACCCCTAAGGGCTTCTATAGACATAGAAGACCCTTATGGACTTCTATAGACATAGAAGACCCTTATGGACTTCTATAGACATAGAAGACCCTTAAAAGCTTTTATAAACACAGAAGTCCTTTAAGGGCTTCTATAGACATAGAAGACTATTCATAGTAGATCCTTAAGGGTCTTTATAGACATAGGAGACCCTTTCAGGGCTTCTATGTAGATAGAAGGCCCTTAAGGGCTTCTATGTAGATAGGAGTACCCAACCGAAAATGGAAGTTCCTTCCAACTTTCGGTTCGGAGTCGGACCGAACTAAGACAGGTTGGGCTCGCTGGGTTGCTACTCTATTAAATATCTATATAGAAATTATCTTATATAGAAATTTAGATCCTGTTGCAAAAATATATGCTCGAAAGTAGTCATTAACCACTCCATAAAACTTCGGTCAGCCCGAAAACGCAGCCGAAATCGGATGTTTCATCCGGCTTTCGGTTCGAAGTCGGCCAAAATGTTTGCGTGCCCAAGACTTTAATACACCCTCCAGAATATTTTCGCGATAATATTCGGCATTTATTCTGATGCCACGGTCGATTGATACGAGCGGAGAGTAACAATCGGCTGTTATGGTGGCCCACACCATCACGATGGCCGGCGTTTGAGTTCTGGTGGCCAACCGAAGGTGCACATTTTCAGCTGACCTCTTTGGCAAGTAAACATGATCATGTTGTTTGTTTACTTAACGCTGGACAATGATTGCTTTCTCATCGGAAAAAAATCAAATTCGGCAATTCACCACTTTCGGCCAAACGAAGCAATTCTTTAGCTCTTTTGAGTCTATTTCTTTCTGGAATATTGCGATATGTTTAGCTCACGAGCCATTTTTCGGGCACTGCGACGCGGGTTTCGATCAGGTCGCTTCTTTGCCTTTCGAGCCATTTCCGCTGATGTTGCTGTTTTCTTCCGTCCACTTCCTTGACGTCTGAGGGCTACGTTACCAGTATCACGGTAAGGAACGATGTTACGATACACAAAAGATTTATTCACATTTAAATGCTGGAGTGCTCTAACGATAGCCACTTGTGGTTCTCCAGCCAAATATAAAGAAATCACACTATCACGCTTGAATTCAATCACGAATAACTTTTCTTCTAGAAAATTCTCACCAAAATGCTTTTGCACGCTGATAAACAATATAATGAGCTGTTACTGGAATAATTTTAACAGCTGTCGGACGAGTGGCTTAGAAATGACCGTAGTCTGAAGTTGGTTGCAGTGTTTCATCTCACCCTGTATACGTAAGAATACCGAAAAAAAAACTTATTGACTGAAAATCAACGCCCGAAGATAGAATCTTGAAATCATGCACGAGGGTGAGTCTGGGTGCTGGGTTTTTGGAAAATCGTAATAAAAGGGTACGAAATTAACTAAAATGCAAAAAAAATTTAGAATTAAAATGAGAGTCATTGATGGGGTGTAGGATGAATTTTCAAAAGGTTTTTGGAAATTCGAAGTTTTGAGGTTACGAGAAGTTCTAAAATTGCTCTAAACTTCTAAAATGGTACCACTTGGTATTAAGTGCAAAGATAGCTAAAAAACTTGACATTTGGAATGAGAATCAAGTTGTAAAGTAAGTTTGAAGGTGGTTTTGGAAATGTCTCCTAAGCGTGCGAACTGCACTAAATAGTACTAAATTTGAAAGAGTTTGGTTTAGGGTGAACGGATCAAGCTGGATTTTTTAAAATTAGTACTGGCGTCCCTGTGGACGGTAGATTTGAGACAAAGAAGTGTTTTTGGAAACATGTATTCTACAAGTGCACGAAAAGTACTAAATAGTACTATATTTGGTACTATTTGGTATTGGGGGAACAGATTGTTCTTGAAATCTGAGATTTGGTATTAAGGTCGCTGTTCGTGTATAAAAAGTGGGCATATGGAGGTTGTTTCGAAATTGTGTATTGCAATTGTACGAAAAGTAGTGATTGATACTATATTTGGCATTGGGTGAAGAAATAGAGGTGTAATCCTGAAATGTAATATTTTGATTAATTTTGGTATCTGTGTTTGAGGATTGGCGGTGGATTTAGTGTTACTTCCTATATTTGTACGAAAAGTTCTAAACGTTACAAAATTTGGTATTGGGTGAAGGAATAAAGCTGGAATCCTAAAATTTGACACTAAGATCACTTTTGGTATCTGAGGTCATTAAAGACATTTTGTGTCAATTTAATTTTTTTCCAACATTTTAGCGTTTTTTGTCATAAACAACCGTTCTTTGATTGCTGTCCATTAACTTCAAAGTTACGCCGATTCTTCACACTTAACAACAACAACAGCATAACTCATTACATTTTGCCTAAGCACCAGCTATTGTGAGCAACCTCATGCCTCATTTAGTTTCAATTTTGAAACACTTGAGACTTCATCTCACTATTCAGTTACTTCTTCTTCCTGTCTCAAACATTTTGAATATTTCTCAAAAAAAAAAAAAAAAAAAAAAATCTTTGCTGAAGTTCATTGACAACCCCACACACACAATGACAATTTAACACCAACAACAACATCATCAACAACAAAGCAATTGACAATAAAAACAAATATTGTGACTTCATAATAACGTCATTCGGTGATCTCCTCTCTTGGACAAATTCAAACCCTGAACGACGTGGGCTTCATCATTTGGAACAAATGACAGCGTCGTCGAAGTTGTCTTGTCTTGGTTAGGAACTGCAGAAATTTGATAGTGGGTGGCTGAATGTTTGTGGTTGTTGTTGCTGTTTTTTTCTGAACAGAACACAAATTCTTAAATATAATTATAGGTAACATAAAACTAAGAACTTTAGCTCAAGGTATGTGAAACGTGCGTGGTAGTGATTCGATTGTTGTTGCTGTTGTTTCTGTACTTACCAGTTATCTCTCGTCACATCGAGAGCTTGGCTTGACATGGGCGAATGAAATTAAATCCCGAAAGTTGTCATTATTATAAACTTGTGTATTATTATGTGAGTGTTTTCGACAAAAAAAATGAAAAATACAAAATATTAGCAGATACGCGTATGGATCATGAAAATCACAATAGCTTCAATAATTGCGTGTGTTTATTAGGGTGTTTCTAACTGTTTTTTATACCCTCACGGCCAAAACATGCCCCATCGAAATAACGATTGTAGACCCTAGGTCTCTTTGGAGCAA